GTCACCGCCTCCGCGATGCGTAGTTCGGCGTCTATCAAGGTGTGGCGACACGCACCCGCGTCCGGCGGCAGGCTCATCAACACGCGCTCGCAATGCCCGGTAGCCTCCAGCTGGGACTCTTCCACGGCCTGGCCAACCGCCTGCCCAACGATCTGCTCCAGCTTCTCGGGAATGGTCCACAATCGCCTCACCAGCTCTTGGCCATCAGGGGTGGTGGTCTTGAGCATCTGCACGATGGCGCTCCGCTTCAGCTGCATCGCCAGCCGCATCGCGTCGTTCGCCTCCATGACCTTCGAGTGAAACGACCTCCTGATGATCTCTGGGATTTTGCCCAGATGATCGATGGCCGCATCGACGCCATCCTCGCCCCCACCCCTGCTGCGAATGGCCTGTTGCACCAAGGCCAGCTCGGTCTTCACGCTCTCGGCAAGGCTCTTAGCCTTGTTCTGCACCACTCGGCCCAGCTGCTCGGGGACATCGTCGATTGCCTCCGCGGCGGCGGACAAGCGCCACTTGTCGAGGCTGTAGCTCGTGGTCTCCTCCTGGCCGTTCGATGCCCAGGCCTCTCCCACGCGCGTCGATACCCAAGCCGTGCTGACGCGGTCGGCGTCGGAGAACGCGCTGCCGCTGGAAGAAGACTCGCTGCACGGCTCGCTGCTGGACCAGGAATGACTGCGTGAGCCCTGGCGCTCGTCGTCGCACAACTCGATGAACGTGTCCCTTGTGGCCACGTCCCCGAGACCCTGCTTCGTGGGCGCTGTGGCGAAGACGTCACTCGGCATGGCCATCGTCTGGGCCCCGCGCGTGCTGCAGCCGCGAACGAAATCCTGCTCTTGAGCACGACTGGCTTGAGCCAAAATTTCTCGGATGGGGGCCTCCCGGGCCGTCTTGGGAGCCTCCTGGGCCGTCCTGGACGCTGCGAAAGCCGAAAACGCGAACCTGACCTGACAAGAACGGGAAGCGAATGTTCGAACGTTCGTTGCAGGTGTGGCATCACATGGGAACGTCAAAACTGGAACGCTTGTGCGAACAGGAGGGGACTGCGTGGTGCCCGAGTCAAGGATCCCTCGAAAATATACGACGCTCGCGCTCCCGAGGCGCAGATCCCTCGTAAGGTACACGCGATACGCGCCTCCGAGGCCACGACCCATTGCAAAGTACTCTGGGTTCATGCCTCGGCGACCAGGAACCACTGAATAGCAGCCAGATTCACGCCCTGGAACCGCTATTACTTGTATCGTGCGCAAGCGGTCAGTTACCACGCGGCCCCCGCGTCCACCTTCAAGATCCCGAGCTATCCGCCGTCCCCTTGGGGTTCGGTCCGGCTGGCTTGCAGGGGGGGGATCCGTTTAAACGGACTAGATCCTTCCCCTCCCAGGAATGCCCAGGATGCCTCCGGCCGTCTCCGGCCACTCCAAGATGCTCCAAGACGGCCCATTATATTTTGAATACGACCGGCGATAACCCCAAGACGGTCCAAGAGGCCTGTAACATGAAGCCCTCTTGGATCCCTCTGGCGCCGTTTTCGGGCCCTCTTGAGCTGTCTCGGGGCTGTGTAACCCGAATTCGGGATAAGGAGATGGAACATCTAGTGACCCTCGGTCCATCCCGCCACCGTGCCGGGGTATTGAGAATGAGACGAAGTGAAAGTTCGTTGGGCTCTCTTGGGAGGCTTCTCGCGGGCCGTTTCGAGTCCTCTTGCGGCCTCTTGGGGGCCTTTGGGGGCGTTTTGGGGGCCTCTCGGGGGCCTCTTGGGACCTCTTGGGCGCCTCCTGGGGCCTCCTCGGGCCGTCTTTGGGCGGGGTGCTCCGATTTTCGATTCGGGCTCACCCTCTTGGGCCCCTCTTGCGGCCCTCGTGGGCCTTCTTGGGAGCCTCTTGGGCCGTCTTGGCCGCCCTCTTCGGCCGTCTTGGGCGCCTCTTGAGAGTCTCTTGGGGCGTCGCGGGTCGGTCTTGGGGGACTCTTGGACCGTCTTCGACGTCGTGAAGACGAGAAAGTCGTATATACTAAAAATATACGTTTTCCGATAGGAACCTGACCGGACAAGAACGGGAAGCGCCGTTTTTTATCCACCACGTGCGTTAGAGACCGTATTGGCGAGAACGTCAGAGAAACCCATAAACGCAACAGAACAGACTAAATGATGGCCTGCCGCGTTCCGACGGCCCAAGACGGCCCAAGAGGCCCCCAAGATCGCTTTAAGATCGCCCAAGAGGCCTTCAAGATGGCCCCGAAACGGCCCAAGAAGTCCCCAAGACGGTCCCAAGAGGGCCCTAACACGGCGCAAGAGGCCTCCAAGACGCCCAAGATGTCTTCCAAGAAGGCCAAGATGGCCTCCAAGACGGCTAAGATGGCTCCAAGAGGGCCCCAAGACGGCCCAAGAGGCCTCGAAGACGGTCTGCCGTGCTCCTGTGGTCTGCCGTGCTCCTTTGGGGTCTGCCGTGCTCCTGTGGAGTTTGCCGTGCGAACGTGTGGTCTGCCGTGCTCCTGTGTGGTCTGGCGTGCTCCTGTATGGTCTGCCGTGCTACTTGTGTGGTTGCCGTGTCCTGTGTGGTCTGCCGTGCTCCTGTGGGGTCTGCCGTGTCCTGTGTGTCTGCGTCTCCTGTGTGGTCTCTCTGTGTGGTCTGCCGTGCTCCCTTCTTGGTCTGCCGTGCTCATGTGCGGTCTGCCGTGCTCCTGTGCGGTCTGCCGTGCGAACGTGTGGACTGCCGTGCTCATTTGGGTCTGCCTTGCTCCTTTGTGGTTTGCCGCGCTCCTGTGTGGTCTGCCGTGCTCCTGTGTGGTCAGCAGACCCAGGGCTGAGGGAAGGCTGGAGCAGTGCTCTGGTGGTCCATCACCCGCCCAGCTCCGTCCCCTCCCACTCTGGACCGATCTTGCGGGAAGCTGGCTTGTGGCAGCGCATCGCGCGTCCATAGCGTTCGTGTGCTTGCTTTTACCTCCTTTAATGTCTGCTCCACCTCTCCTTGAGACGCAGAAGCCTCCGAGCGCCGGGAGCAGAAATGATGCACTTTCGAAAAATCTGTTTGGATGAGTTTTGTTAGCGCGGCCTCGGAATTCAATTTTTCCGGCGACGGCCAGAGCCGACGCCAGCGCTGGATCCGGCTCGGCCGCCAGCCCAGGTGCCGGCCCGGGCGTTCGGTTCGAGCGCCGGCCTGGGTGCCGGAATCGGCCCGGAAGGGGTTCCAGGGCGCCGGGAGCAGAAAATCAATATTTTCGAAAGAAAAATATGTCTTGGAGTGGCCTTTTTTCCGGCACCGCCTCGGAATTCAATTTTCCGGCGCCGGCCGGCGCCGGAACCGGCCCGGGCGCTGGCCCGGGTGCTGGCCCGGGCGTTTGGCTCGAGCGCCGGCCCGGGTGCCAGAAGCGGCCCGGAAGGGGTTCCCGGGCGCCGGGAGCAGAAAATCAATATTTTCGAAAGAAAAATATGTCTTGGAGTGGCCTTTTTTCGGCACCGCCTCGGAATTCAATTTTCCGGCGCCGGCCGGCGCCGGAACCGGCCCGGGCGCTGGCCCGGGTGCTGGCCCGGGCGTTTGGCTCGAGCGCCGGCCCGGGTGCCAGAAGCGGCCCGGAAGGGGTTCCCGGGCGCCGGGAGGAGAAAATCAATATTTTCGAAAGAAAAATATGTCTTGGAGTGGCCTTTTTTCGGCACCGCCTCGGAATTCAATTTTCCGGCGCCGGCCGTGCTCCTGCGCGGTCTGCCGTGCTCCTGTGGCGTCTGCCGTGCTCCTGTGTGGTCTGCCGTGCTCCTGTGGTCTGCCGTGCTCATTTGGGGTTTCCCGCGAGCTTGTGGGGTCTGCCGTGCTCCTGTGGGGGAAACGCCAGCGGCGTTCGGGGTACAACAAAAGGCGCGTTTATGTTGTACCTGCGCGCGGTCTGCCGTGCTCCTGTGGGGATTGCCGTGCTCCTGTGTGGTCTGCCGTGCTCCTGTGTGGTTTGCCGTGCTCCTGTGGTCTGCCGTGCTCCTTTGTGGTTTGCCGTGCTCCTGTGAGGTCTGCCGTGCTCCTGTGGGGTCTGCCGTGCTCCTGTGAGGTCTGCGGTGCTCTTCTGTGGTCTGCAGTGCTTCTGTGATCTGCCGTGCTCATTTGGGAACTGCCGTGCTCGTGTGGTGTCTGCCGTGCTCCTGCGGGATCTGCTGCTCCTGTGGGTTCCGCCGTGCTCCTGTGGCGTCTGCCGTGCTCCTGTGGCGTCTGCCGGGCTCCTGTGTGGTCTGCCGTGCTCCTTTGTGGTCTGCCGTGCTCCTGTGGAGTCTGCCGTGCTCCTGTGTGGTCTGCCGTGCTCTTGTGGTCTGCCGTGCTCATTTGGGATTTGCCGTGCTCATGTGGGGTCTGCCGTACTCCTGTGTGGTCTGCCGTGCTCCGGTGGTCTGCCGTGCTCCTTTGGGGTCTGCCTTGCTACTGTGGGGTCTGCCGTGCTCCTGTGTGGTCTGCCGTGCTCCTGTGGTTTGCCTTGCTCCTGTGTGGTCTGCCGTGCTCCTTTTGGGTCTGCTCTGCCGTGCTCCTGTGGGGTCTGCCGTGCTCCTGTGGGGTCTGCCGTGCTCTTGTGGGGTCTGCCGTGCTCTTGTGTGGTCTGCCGTGCTCCTTTGTGGTCTGCCGTGCTCCTGTGTGGTCTGCCGTGCTCCTGTGTGGCCTGCCGTGCTCTTGTGTGAGCTGTGAGCTGCGGGGCCTGTGAAGGCTAAAAGGAGCCCGAGGCCCGCGGAGCCCGTTGGCCCCAGGGCCTCAAGGGCCAACCCTAGGGGCCCCTAAGGAGCCACCGCAGGGGAGGGCGCGAAGCGCCAGACGCGCGACGCGCACGATTTCAAAGAAATCAAGAAGGCAGCAGGGGCCGAGGCGCGCAAGCACGCCCAACATGCCCGCCTCGCTGCAAATGAGACGCGGGGCAAAAGTTGCCGCCTCACGCACTCACAGAAAGAAGAAGACGAGGGGGGCGGACACAACAGGAGGAAGAAGATGATGCTGCATCACTCCCCCTCGTCACCATCAGCACGGCGGCGCCTCTTGCGCCTGTCCTCGCGCGCCGTCTCAGCCGCGGCTGACCACTCGAGGAGGCTCGCCTCGTCAAGTCCGTAGGCGCTCAGCCATGCCTCCCTCGAGGCCCCCGCGGGGCCAGGCGCCAACGGCTCTGCCGCCTCCTCGGCAGCGGCCGCCGCGCCGCCGGGGGGCCCGCTGCTGGCGCCGGCGGCCTCGCCGCCAGGGGCATCCTCGGGGCGGACCCCCAGCCACTGCAGGAAGCGCACCCTGGCGTCCATCGGCACCACGTCCTCCTTGCGCAGGCTGGGCACTGTCGCGCCGACCCGCTTGCTGCCGCTGTGGGGCGTGCCAGCAGGATGCCGCCCCTGCAGCCAGCGCGCCTTCTGGTCTCGCCTGCCCTTGGGAAGCCCAGAAGACCCTGGGCATTGCTCCTTGAGCTTGGGCGCCGCGCCTGAGCGTCCGCCCAGCCGCGCGCACGCCCCGCAGCGGGTGCACGCCATCAGCTCCTGCTCGGCGGCGCCCTCCCCGCACCTGGCGAAGGCCAGGACGTGGCCAGCGACGACGAAGGCCGTCGCGCCGAGGGATACGCCACCAGCGCGCGCCGCCGACGCCCACCCGTCGCCCGAACCCGAGTCGGACGGGCGGCTGCTGGCGGGCTCCACCACGGGCACGGCGAAGGAGACAGCCGTCCGCTCGCTGCCCTCGGGTAGGCCCTCGCAGTCCTTGACCTCGATCCCCTGCCAGATGAGGGAGGCTTGCGCCACCCAGCATGAGAGCTCCCTCACCACCTCCATCGTGCCGAAGAACTCGCGCCTGGCCACGGGGCTGGCGCGGTGCAGCTCCGCACCTGCCTTGGCCCAGCGGTCTGCATGACCGTTGCCGCGGAGGTCCGACTCCGTGATCTTGCCATCCATCACGTCTCTGGCGGTGCAGTGGGCCGCCACTTTGGTAACCTTGAGAATGTCCACGTCCAGCGAAGCGTAGATCCCCTCCCAGAGATGGGCATTGGGCTTGTTGGCTGCCGTCGCGTACCTCTTGCCCAACGTGAGGCAGCTGACCGTAGACGCACAATCGATGAGGATCTCGTCCACACTCGGGCCCAGGAAGCGAGAAAGCATCCAGACCGCGAAATCCTCGCCGTCCTTCGCCGTCTGGAAAGGGCAGAGGTCTTGGCGCACGCTGCCGTACACCGCGCACTCCATGTTGCCGTCGGAGTCGCACTGCACGATGCTCCAACCCGCACGCCGTAGGCTCTCGTGCTCGGGGTCGAGCGCCGACCCATCCAGGTAGAGGCGCCCCCCGAGGAGACCGTCAGCGGGGCGATTGCACCACATGACCGCCATGGCATCCGACCTCGGGGCGGCCCTCGGGGGCTGCGGAAGCCAGCAGCGCGCGAAGCATTCCCCCGCCTCCTCACCGCGGCCACGTGCACGGTGTGCGCAGCGCCGTAGGCGGTCGGAGGTAGAGTCGCGCCTCGGCCCCGCGAGGACTGGACACTCGAACAGCCTGTGCCAGAGGCTGCCGCGGGAGGCATCGCAAGCGCAGCAGCGAGCGTGCTCCCTCTCCCCCGCCGAGTGCAGACGGGTCTGGGGCCAGTGGGCGTTGGAAAGGAAACTCACCACCGCCGCCTTCTCCCTGGGGCTGAGCTTGCTGCCAGGCCCAAGGACCTCCGAGAAGGCCTCCCAGAACAGGGGCGACGGGGGGAGCGCACCGTGGCCGAGGCGGGCCAGCTCCGACCTGTCCGAAGCACGCCGCGCCCCTGCCGCTGCCAGCAGGCCCAGCTCGCGCGGCCCCATCATGCGCAGGTCCAGGATGTGGCCGTCGTCGGTGGCGAGGCGGGTGCCTTGGACGAGCCTCCAGCCCACCCTGGTGAGCGAGAGGGCCAAGGCATCCACCGGCGTACGGCAGTGCGCCCATGGGGCTGCTGCTCCCGCGTGCCTCCGCTCCGCCTCCTGCAAGGCCGTCTCGAACATGCGCTGCGGGACCTCCCCCGTCTGAAGGAGGCTGGCCGCCATCTGCACTGCGGCACGAAGCAGCGCGGGGCTCGGGTCGAGGTCGATGGACCGCATGACCTCCGCCGCTCTGAGTCTCAGCCCGAGTGAGGCGCCCTTAGGGAACTTCCCAGCCGAGCGCACAGCCGCCAAGCGCCACGAATGAAGCTCCCTATCAAGTACACCCGTCACAGTACGCCCCCACAGCATCGCCGCGGTGGGCCCAGCACGGTGGACCATCTCGGTCGCCGCACCAGCTGAGCGAAGCACCCCTAGCCTGCGTCCTCGCCGAAGGCCGCCGACCGCACGCACAGCACCTTCATGCACTCCACGACGAGTGATGTTGGCGTCGGTGCCGAGGTTCCTCGCCTGTAGTCCCCTCTTGAAGGCCAAGCCCTGCGCAGCCCACTCCTCGGAGAGCTCCTTGGCGAGCTGCGGCGACGAGGCCAGGAAGACCGACTTACTCTCGTTGAGTGGGAGGTGCTGCTCTCGCAGCTGGCGGACCACTGCACAGCTGGAGGCCAACATCTGCTGCTTCACGAGTCGGGCCGTGCCGACCGCCTGGAGCGAGATGTCATCGACCACATTCCTCGGCGTGACCAGCGGGCACGTCGCCCCCGCGGCCAGGAGGGCGCCCAGGACTGGGAGCTTCGCAACTGCTGTCGCACACGCACACCCAGCCAACACCGTACCAGTAGTGCCGAAGGCGGGGGAAGCCATGCCCGCCGCAAGGATCATCCTAGGGGCCTGGTAGGAGGTGAGGAGGCCGCGCAGCAGCCTGAGGTTGAACCCGAAACGTACAGCATTCGCCCAGAGAACATCGTGACGCACATGCTCGTAGAACTTGCTGATGTCCAGGAAGAGGCTCGCGGCCTCGAACTGCTGGTTCGCCTTCGCGAACCCCGCAAAACAGTTGTGCAGCCACCCAGCCCGCTCACAGTCCCGCCCGTCACGTCCCCAGAAGAAGGGGAAGTTGTGGTCAGCCTCCCAGCGGGCACAGCACGGCTGGCGGAGGCGCGACCACAGCCGCAGGACCAGCGGCAGCAACGCAATGGGCCTTACCCCCCCATCTGCCTTCGGGATGAACACCATCAGGGAGACCTGCCCGTTGATCGATGCAGGGGCGTCGTCGTAGGCCGCTAGGATGTCCAGGATGCGCTGCTGCAGCGCCACGGGCAGCAGGAGGATCTGCCGAGGGTGCAGGGAGTCGCACCCGAGACCCACCGAGGGGCTGTAGCGCTTGCAGGCTGCCTGGAGCTGCTCCAGCGAGATGGGTGGCAGCCGCCACTCGCCAACGTCCCAGCTGCTGGCCCCTGCGCCAAGGGCAAACCCTTCCTGGAGCCACAGCTTCTGCCAGACACTCGTGAGCTCTCCAATCGCTGCCATCCCAACCAGCCTCCTGCCCGAGCCAGCGTCCCTGACCGTCGGCGGGGGCGTCGCCTTCGAGAAGCGGTGGGCCAGACGACCGCCCTTCTCGACCGCTGTCTGTGCCCAGTTGCGCCAGGCCTGGGCGCTCTGAGCCGCGTCGCGGCGCTGCGATACACTGAGCAGCCCTTGAAGATCCCGAACAGCATCAGGGCTGCCGTGGACGCCCGCTTGAAACACCAGGTCGCCTAGTCGATCAGGAGCTGCGCCAGGGAGAGCCCCACCGACCGAGTCGGCAGCCTCCTGCACCGCCTCTAGCAAGAGCTGCGCCCTGAGCTCGGCCTGGTGCCCGTACCAGTCTGCATGCCGAGGGTGCCAGCGGCCAGTCCTCTCCGCGCGCACCCGCTGGAGGGCCACGTCCAGGCAGCTCCTCAAGCGGTGCGTGAGGAGGCTGAACCTGAACCTGGCATCCCGCCTGACCAGGGCACTGAGAGGCTTGAGGGACAGCCTAGGCCCCTCTCCTCTGCCGAGATGACGGGCCAAGTCTGCCTGGCCGATGCCGTGGATGCCGACCAGGGTGCCTTCGGCAGCTGCCGCCCACTCGCTGAAGGCGACGGAGAGGTTGGTCGGTGGAGTGCCTGCGTCCCAGGACCACGAGACGCCCCTAGGCGCGACCTGTCCCTTCTTGCCAACCGTGTAGCACACAATCTCGGCGTCCTCGTGCGCCCGAAGGAGCTCAGGGGCAACTTCGGGGAAGCGTGCGGGCCTGGACGGAACCTCCACCAACGCATCTGCCCGAACATCCTGGAGGCGAAGCAGGACTGGGCGATGAGGGTGTAGACCGAAGCCCTCGAGCGTGGTGGCGCAGGAGGCCGTGCAGGCTGCCACGCCGCGGAAGCCACGAACCAGTCGTAGAGGTGGTCGCAGCCCTCGGCATGGCACGTCGCCTCCGAGGGCCCCAGGACGTGCCCCCGCACCGCCGCGGGCCACCCCAACTCCTCCAGGGGCTCGGGCTCCATGTTGAAGTCGGCTTGGAGGACCCACGGGATGTCGGCAGAGAAGCCCGTCACCTCCGAGATGGCCGAAAACATGTCCAGGTTGGTGCCTCGAGGGCCCACAGAGTGCTGAAAATACCCAGCGAGCACCAGGAACCGCAGGCCAGAGGCGGCGGCGACCTCCACTCCGATGAGGCGGTGCCGCAAGGCCGAGGGCAGCGGGTACGCAGACTCGTCGGCCTGCAAGCCGTCTCGCACCAGAATCGCCACGCCGCCTGAGGTCGCCTGGGGCCCCTGCTTCTCCGTCAGCGCTGCCTCGTGGAGGAAGGCCGCGTAACCCAGGCCGCGGGCCTGAGCCGCCGCACTGGGCAGGCGCTCATGCGGGAGCCTCGTCTCCTGCAGCGCCACTACGTCGGGCCAGTAGCCGTACGCCTTGAAGAAGGCCTCAATGGCCTCAATGCTCCTGCTCCAAGTGTTGCCATTGCAGCCGAACATGACGAGGCCAGATCGAAGCTGCTGGCCTCCTGCACTGTCAACCAGCGGCGCCTTGCCGATGACGGCTGCCTCGCGAGCTGCGCGCTCACCAGCGCCCGACACCAGGCCCGCCGTGCCCCTGGTCGCGGGACCCTCCGCCCCCACCAGGACTGGAGGGGGGACCTGGCCCCTCGCTCCAGCGCTCCTCATCGGCGTCGGCGGGCCGCTCGCAAGCACGGGAGGTGGCCGTCGCTGAGGAGGTGGCCGTCCCTCCGCCCCTCCGGTTGCCAGCGGGGGGTGCGCCTGCCCATCACCATCGGGGCCGAGAGCTGCGACGTCGTGGGGCTGAATCCCACCGCTCTCGGCCCCTGACTGGCCGTCGGGGGGCCACCTCGGTGTTCCCGACCGCGCCAGCTGGCTACCTCGGGCAAGGGCGCACGGCGCCGCCCGCCGCCTGCGAGGGGCGCGGACGCGCCAGCGGCCGTCACAGCGCCTCCTCCACCTGTCCCAGCAGCTGGGCCCGCGCACGTCCCGAGGGGGAGGCGCCCCGCTGTCCCCGACGTCGAGGCCGACGGTGGAAGCTGACCACTCCAACGCTCCCGCATCACCCACGGCGCGGCCCGTACCCAGCAGCAGGAGCAACGACAGCAGCCGCAGCCACCAAGGGGTCGCCGTCCGAGAGGGCCGCCCCTTGCTCGGCGAGGGCCTTGGCGAGGCACGGCTCCACCTGAGGCCACGCGCCCAGGGTCGCCCCGTGCTGGCCGCGGGCCGCTGCAGGGCCGTAGGGCCCGTCCGCTGGCCTGGCCCGCGAGGCTGGCGGCCCAGCCGCGGTAGGCCCTGCCTGCGTGGCGGCAGCGGGAGGGGCGGTCGCAGGCCCCCCAGAGGCCACGATATCGAGCGGCATGTCGTCATCCTCAGTCGCGAAGCCGTCGTCACCGACGCAGTCGCCCCAACGCTTCCTGGCCGAGCTGCTGCTGGGCCTGAGCACATGAGCGACCGCCTCCTTCTGCGTGTTGAGAATGCCGACGATCTCGGAAAACCTGGGGGGCAGCTCGGCTCCGTGCTGCTTGAGGAGATCCGACAGGGCGCCGACTTGAGTGAGCAACCCCTGGACTGCGTCCCCAAGCGGGCTCGGAACGCCTCCGACAGCCGCGTTGGCCCGCTGGATCGCCTGCTGCGTGACCTTGGCTCTGGTCTCTTCCAGCTCGGCAATCTGCCCCGTGACCTCATCCACTCCCAACTCGGCTGCGGACAGCTGCTCCTGCTTCTCCGCGATGAGTTCGCGCAGCTCGGACGCCTGCAGCTGGAGCTTCTCCCTCTTGGTGCGTGCCGTGGCCAGCTGGCGCTCGACCTTCTGTATGGCGTTGGCCTCGATGTGGAGCACCGAGTGAGGGGGGCGCTCCGTCCGCTGGGCCTCCTGGACGGCCAGCTCCAGGGCGGCGACCTGGTCCTTGCCCTGCTGGAGGGCATTCTCCGCCTCACGCTGAAAGTCCGCCGAGAGCCCGAGCGCCGAGGCCCCCTGGAGCGTGTCGACGCGCTCCCTGGCCGCCACGAGCTGCGCCTGCAGCTCCTCGATCTGGGTCTTGGCCTCTCCCCAAGGTCGCGCTCGCCGTGCCCTGCTGTTGGGGGCGCTGCTGGGCGCGGTACTCCCAGAGAGGGCCCGCTGGGAGGCCGAGCGCTTCGCCGCGCGCTGCGCAGCCCTTCCCCTGGGTTGCTGCACGAACCCGTCTGCGTCCACCCGCGGGGGGGCCTTGTCGGAGCGGTATTCCTTCGTCCATGGGGGAGCACTGGTGCCGCACTCCTTGCACGTCCATCGCTTGTCACACCAGTTCCAAGCGTTACAGCCGCGCTTAGCACACAACCAGTACGCCCGCCTCGCCAGCCCCGAGGCAACCTCCGACATGGCGGCACCCCGAGGGACTGACCGCTGCTCGGCCGAAACACTCTGCCCTGCAGGCGCGAAGGAAACCAAAGAAGGCGAAGCTTCTGGCTCGTGGCAGAGCGCCCCTCGCGCTCAAGAACGCCCGACGGACTCGCGGTCGTCGGGTGCGCCATGGCCTTGAGCCAAAATGGCTACGGACCCGTGCTCTTGTGTGGTCTGCCGTGCTCCTGTTGGTCTGCCGTGCTCTTCTGTGGTCTGCCGTGCTCCTATGGGGTCTGCCGTTGTTCGGCCGTCTTGAGGGCACTCTTAGGGCATAGTCTGCCGTGCTCCTCGTCTTGGTCTGCCGTGCTCCTCGTCTTGGTCATCCTTTCCGTCGTCTTCAGGGAGCACGGCAGACCGCGCGGAGGAACCGAGAGGAGCACGGCAGACCACAGGAGCACGGCAGACCACACAGGAGCACGGCAGACCACACCTCGATTTTTTGAGGATGTCTCGAGCGAAATGCAGTGTGTCTGCCGTGCTCCACACGGGAGCACGGCAGACCACCTGCTCATTTTCTGAGGACGTCCCGAGCGAAAACGTCATTTTTAACATAAGAGGTTGTAAAACACCTCTGTCGGCATCTCATTTTTTCGAGGATGTCTCGAGCGAAACGCTCATTTTTCATGCATAACAAAATTTTTTGATATTTTTCAACATCCCGATTTTTTGAGGATGTCTCGAGCGAAACCGTCATTTTTAACATAAGACGTCTTAAACGATAGCCTCCAACACCTCGATTTTTCGAGGATGTCTCGAGCGAAATGGCCATTTTGGGGAATCCGCCAACGAATTGTCCCCGTGCGGCCCCGCAACCCATAGATATAAAGATATATATATATATATATATATATATATATATATATATATATAATATATATTATATATCCTCAAGGATTCAGCCAGAACGTCCCGCTTGCTTCTCGTACCTCGAAGACGCTTCCCGTCATTTGACGATTGGGCCCTCTTGGGGGTGCTCTTGGAGGCCTCTGGGGCCGTCATGCGGGCCCCTGGAGCCGTCCTGTGGCCTTCTGGGGACCCTCTTGGGCGCTCCAAGAGCGATCTGAACACAAAGGCGGCCTGGAGCCAACGCCAACTCCATTTTTTAGAGGATGTCCCGAGCGAAACGGTCAACTTAGAAATCCGCCAACGCCCGTCCAAGATGCAATCCGGAGCCCTATTTAAAGGTTTCCCTTAAGAAAAACGGTCCACGCTCCACGTTCCTCGTTCGCGCTTCCCGTCATCCGCCGACCCCTTTAGAGTCTCTGGGCGTGTGAGTTTCTTCCCCCCCCCCTACTATCCCCCCCTATTATCCCCCCCCCGCCTATTATCCCCCCCCTCCATAACCCCCCTTCCCCCCGGGGCCCCCGAACCGGCAATTTGACCCCCCCCCCCCTCCCGGGCCTGGGACGGTCCGCCTCCCGAACTCACCAGGGGGGGGGATCCGGCCCTCCCCAGGCCCGCTCTGGAGCCCCCAAACAGCGAACGGTCGCCCCAAAACGTCCAAGATGACGTCCAGACGCCCCATGGGCCCTCAACACAGTGTTTCACGAAGGCCCCCAGAACCACACATCACCCCATTCTCTTTCGACGTCGTATAGATTTTCGGGCGTTGCCCGAATGGGCTTCTCGCGAGGTTAACCTCGACAAACGGACCTGAACTGAGCTGACTGGTCGCGCCCGTTACGCGACGGTGTTATTTTCGGCGGTCGAGGGCGCAATCTATCGCGCAACCACTAGGAGACGGTTTTAGTCTCGGCGGCGGAGGGCGCAAACTATGGTGCAACCAATAGGCGATGGTTTTATTCTCTTGCACAGGGTGTCTAGAGCTCCGACCACTGTATTTCGGCACGGCACCCCCTCCATCACCCACATATTCCACCAGCCAGCGCGCCCCTCCGCCCCGACCCCTCTTATCTCGGCACGGCACACCCCTCCGCCCCGACCCCTGTATTTCGGCACGGCATTCCCCCTCAACGCCCCCTCCGCATCCCCCCCACCCACCAGCCAGCGCGCCCCTCCGACCCGACCCCTTTAGTTCGGCACGGCACACACACCCCCGCCCCGACCCCTTTCATTTCGGCACAGCACGCCCCCTCCGCATCCCCCCCACCCAACAGCCAGCGCGCCCCTCCGCCCCGACCCTGAAATGAATTTCGGCACGGCGACCCCTCGCGCCCCGACCCCTGTATTTGGGCACGGCAACACCGCTCCGCATCCCCAGACCCAAACAGGCCAGCGCGCCCCTCCGCCCCGACACCTTTTTTTCGGCACGGCACACCCCTCCGCCCCGACCCTTTTTTTTCGGCACGGCGCACCCCGTCCGCATCCCCCCACCCACCAGCCAGTGCGCCCCTCCGCCCCGACACTTTTTTATTTCGGCACGGCACACCCCTCCGCCCCGACCCCTTTATTTCGGCACGGCATACCCCTCCGCACCCCCCCACACACATCAGCAAGCGCCCCGACCCATTTTTATTTCGGCACGGTACACCCCTCCGCCCCGACCCCCTTTATGTCGGCACGGCACACCGCCTCCGCATCCCCCCGCCACAGCAAGCGCGCCCCTCCGCCCCGACACTTTTTTATTTCGGCACGGCGCACCCTCCGCCGTTCTCTGCATTTGGCACGGCACACCCCTCCGCATCCCCCACACCCACAAGCCAGCAGGCCCCCCCGCCCGACCCCTTTATGTCGGCACCCCCCCCCCCCTTCCCGCACCCCCCCACACGCCAGCCAGCGCACCCCCTCCGCCCCGACACTTTGATTTCGGCACCCTTTTGTTTCGGCACGACACACCCCTCCTCCCCGACGCCTTCATTTCGGCACGGCACACCCCCTCCGCATCCCCCCACCCACCAGCCAGCGCGCCCCTCCGCCCCGACCCCTTTATTTCGGCACGCCCCCCCTCGCATCCCTCCACTTACCAGCCAGCGTGCCCCCTCCGCCCCGACCCTTATTATTTCGGCACTTCCCCCCCCCGCGCGCCTCCTTCCGCACGACCACGTATTCGGCACGCACCCGCCTCGCCCCCGGACAACCCGCCCGCGAGCCAGCGCGGCCCCTCCGCCCCGACCCCTTTATTTCGAGAAGGCCAACCCCTCGCCCCGACCCTTTATTTCGGCACCGCACACTCCCTCCGCATCCCCACCCACAGCAGCGCGCTCCCCACTCCGCCCCGGCCCCTTTTTTTTCGGACACGGCACCCCCCATTCCCGCGCGCCCCCCCCCCGCGCCCTCCCACCCCAGCGCGCCCCTCCGCCCCGATCCTTTTCGTTTCGGCACGGCACTCCCACCCCTCTCCCGCACCCACACACCATCCCACCACCCGCCAGCCAGCGCGCCCCCTCCGCCCCGACCCTTTTATTTCGGCACGTCGCCCCCCCATCCCACGCGCCCCCTCCGCGTCACCTCCCACCAGCCAGCGCGCCTCCTCCGCCCCAACCCTTTCATTTCGGCACGGCACCCTCCTCCCCCATCCCGCGCGCCCCCTCCGCATCCCCCCCAAACACCAGCCAGCGCGCTCCCTCCGCCCCGACTCTTTCATTCTCTTGCACAGGGTGTCTAAGAGCTCCGACGACTTTATTTCGGCACGGCACCGGTCGATGCAGCCCCTCGGCCCGCGCCTCACAGCGCGCCCCCTCCGCATCCACTTTCTGAAGCAGCCATGCCGAAGCAGCCCCCCGGCCCTCCACATCCTTCCCCCGCCAGCCAGCGCAGCCAGCCCGCCAGCCAGAGTGCCCCATCGGCGCCGGCCCCACCAGCCAGCGCACCCCCTCCGCCCCGACAGCTTGATTTTGGCACGGCGCCGGCCCCAACAGCCAACGCGCCACCTCCGCCCCGACCGCTTTATTTCGGCACGGCACCTGGCCCCAGACCTAGCCTCCTCACCTGGCCCCGGCTCCAGCCCCGCTCGCCCCGAACCCTTTATTTTCGTTTGTCGTCGTCCCCCTGGTCCTGGCCCTCATCAACCCAGTCTTCGCCCTGGTCCTCGACCCACGACCCCCTCGTCGTCGCCACCCTGGTCCTGTCCTTGGACCCAGCGTCCTCCCCTGGCCCTGGCCCCAGCCCCCCTCTCCCTGGACCCTTCATTTTCGCTCGTCGTCGTACCCCTGGCCTTGGCCCTGGACCCAGCCCTCTCTCCTCCTCCTCCTCCACCTCCTCCTCCTCCTCCTCCTCCTCCTCCTCCTCCTCCTCCTCCTCCTCCTCCTCCTCCATCTCCTCCTCCTCCTCCCCCTTGTTTCCTCGATCCCCCCATCTGCGTCTCCTTCTCTTTCTCTCCTGGTATATGCAAGAGCCAGAGCACGCGTGCCACTTGTTTTCGGCGGGCGAGGGCGCAACCTATGGCGCAACCACTGGGAGACGATTTCATTCTGGGCGGGCGAGGGCGCAACCTATGGCGCAACCAATGGGAGACGGTGTAATTCTCGGAGGCCGAGGGCGTAACCTATGGCGCAACCAATAGGAGACGGTTATTCTCGGCGGCCAAGGGCGCAACCTATGGGGCAACCAGTAGGAGATGTAAGCGTGTTGGAGGTATCTTGGAGGCAATGTTTGGAGCCTCTTTGGGGGCGCTGTGGAGGCATCGTGGAGGCCTCCCGGGGGCAGATCGAAACAAGTTTGGGGCCTCTTAGGGGCTTGTTGGGGGACTCTTAGGTGGCTTTTGGGAGCCTCTTGGGGCCTCTGGGGGCCTCTTTGGGCCTCTTGGGGGCTTCTTCGGGCCTCCTGGGCCAACTCTAAATTTGAACTTGGTTTTCACCCTCTGGGACCCCTTTTGGGCCTGTACTGGGGCTCTCTTGGGCCATCTGGGGTGCCTCCTGGGCCATCCTGGGCCCGTCTTGGACCGTTCTGGAGCTCTCTTGGGGGCCTCCTGGACCGTCTTTTTTTGTTGCACGCGATGCGGCCGCTGTGGGAAAGTGAGAAGCCGGGGCAAGAAAAAGCCACCAACTACTGACTGGATACTAGCTCCTGCGGAATTCAAC